ATTTAATATTTGATCATTTACATTACTATAAATTAATTCAGACAATTCAAAATTAAAATTACTCTTATAGAGACTTGTTCCTATATAAACTAAATGTTTAAAATTTCCTTTATAAAAATTTTTTATACTTTTTTTATACTCTTTGTTAATATTTCCAAAGCATAGATACTTCACAAATTCCACATATAAGTTTCCAGTTATATTTCTCAAACCAGTAATTAAATCACTACTGTTTTGTGTATTATACTCATCTATTATCTCAAAGATTTTTTTAAAAATTTCAATAGAAAATTCAGGAGTATCTTTAATTGTCTGTAAAAAAGTTGTTCTAATAACAATTTCAATTAATTTAGCATCCATGTCATTATAATAACATTCTTTTATAACATGCTTGATGTTTTGATAATCTATTTCATATTCAGTAATGGTTTTCTTAATAAAAACAGTTAATTTAATTAGATTCTTTGTATTTTTATAAAACATAAACAAGTCTTTAATTAACTGGTGATATTCATTACTATCGAGTGTTTTAATAAGCTCAATAGCGCTATTTATTTCATTAATTGATAGAAAATCAGCAATTTTATCAAAATATGGATTAACTTTTCTCAACTTAACTGGTTTACTATCTTCTACTCTCTTTTCTTCAAGAATTTCCTCTGTAAAATAAACTTTCACTTTTTTAGCTTCTCTGCTTTTATTCTGCATAAAATTTAAATAAAATAAAAATTTATTTTTGTTGACACGCGTGTGCTTTAAATTCTTTAAGAAGTCTAAATCTAGCATCACAAACATCACATTTATATCCGAATCCGTTATGAATATTAACAATGTGTGATTTAAAAGAAGAATAATTAGCGTATTCTAGAGAACAGATGCTACATTTACTAATAGTTTTTGGCCGGAAGAGTGAACCATGTTTATCTCTCATGTGTTTATCTTTAAAACCCAGTTTACTGAATCTTTTATTACACTTACCACATTTAAGTTCTTCTTCTATAGCACATGTATGATCATCAAAAGTTTTTTTACAGGCATAGACTTTCCTGCATCGTTCACATGTCATCTTATTCTCACCGGTATGAATATTTTTTATATGTTCAGTTAAATTCGCTTTTCTAAAAAACGCTCTATTACAAATCGTGCATTTAAAAGGTCTAATGTTGTTGTGTCTATTTAAATGTACTTGAAGAGCTGCATTGCTTGCAAAACTTTTATTACAGTTTTCAAAGACACAATAAAATTTCTTTTGATTGGTTGTCATTTTTTATAAAATTTTGTAAGAAAATTTCTTAGAATTTTAAATTTGAAAAATTAATCAATAATATAAAAATATAAAATTGATTTGAATTGAATTTATATGATAATTAATTAAATAAGATTTTTTGATTGATTTTGAAATTATCTCTAAATATAGGATAATAAAAAATTTTAAGTATAAAATATTTATAAAATGATGAAACTGTTAAGTTTTTTAATTAAAATTTAATTGTTAATCACATTAAAGAAGTAAATTCTTATTTGTTTATAACAAAAACTTTTAATTACTTTTTGTATAAAAATAAATTTATTAGAAGAAACTATAAATTTATTAATTAAAATTACAAAGTTCCTTTTTATGTATTTTAATAAGATTATTTAAATTAAACAATTTAATAAATTTTTTAATTTAATTTATGAGTTGCATAAAGTGTAAAACAAGAAGAGCAGTAACGATTAGACAAAAAACGGCTGAGAAACTTTGTAAAGAATGTTTTTATGAAGAGTTTGAGAATGATATACATAAAGCACTTATCCAAGTTTTTAAACCAAGAATGAAAGTTGGTGTTGGAATGAGTGGTGGTAAAGATTCAACTGTACTTACATATGTATTAGATTTATTAAATAAAAAGTATAATTATGGTGTAGAGATAATTTTATTATGTGTAGATGAAGGAATTAAAGGATATAGAGATCATTCTATTGATACTGTTTATTATAACGCAGAGAAACTTAATTTACCACTCAAAATAGTCTCATATAAAGAAATCTTTG